ATTCCAAATTTTTATTTTTTTCCTCATTGAAGTAGTTTTGAAGAAAATTGCGAGCTAATAAAAAACATTTGCTGGTTAGTACTTTTTTAAAAATAAATTTTTGAAAAATCACCTCTGAAAAAAAAGGCGTTATCCCCTCTATTGCACTATTTCCAAAAAATTTTATCACCACTCGATAGCAAATTATGTGAAGATTTTTGGGAGTTGAGAAAAAATCGTCAATGAAATCCTATTATTGTGTAAATTAACACTTCCAATTTCAACTGAAAACCAGAGCTTGTAACAGAGATGTCAGACAAGATATGAATGTTTTTTTGGGCTCAAACGAAAGAGCGGGTCGAGAAATGGCGTGCTAGCACCTCTAAAGATGGTTTTGAACCAGGGGAGACGCCTAGATCCCAGTGTTCTATACATACTCCTAGACCCCATTATCCTCGTAGACAATGATGTCACAACTCTGCTTTTCAATTGAAAACAGATATCATCTTTAGAGACATTTGTCATGTTTAGAGGCTCTAGCACGTCATTTCTCGACCCGCTCTTTCATTTGAGCCCAAAAAAACATTCATATCTTGTCTGACATCTTTGCTACAAACTCGGGTCTTCAACTCGGGCCTTCAATTGAAAGCCATGGGCCAGTGAGAAAAATAATTTTCTTCTCGGCGCACAGTGACTTTTCACAGTTTTCACAATTTGTCTCTCCCCTCCTAACTGAAATTAAGGAATGAAAAAAAGGCTGTTTGACGGATGACTAAATTACCCATCAATTAACCCTCTTTCATGCCTTAATCTCTGTACTAAAAAGATAAAAACTGCCATGAAAGTCATGGGCCAGTAAGAAGAATAATTGTTTCGCGGCGCACAGTAACTTTTCACCATTCGCCTGCGAATTAAAAATTCACCTCTCCCCTCCTAATTGAGATTAAGCGATGAAAAAAAGGCTGTCCGACGGAGAATTAAATTCACCATCAATTAACTATGAGAGATAGGGCCTTAAAACCTATTCCATTCGATTCCTGAGGAAATTTGGGTTCCCTGTAGGCAGATGCACGGCTCAGAATTGCGTTTTTCCACTTCCTACACCCCNCGAATAGACCCTAACCTCCAACCAAAATCCATTCGTTAACAATAACTAATCCGTTCTATCAATGTACATAAATTCAACTGCACATAAAAAAAACTGTCGATAACCACATCTGTCCACCATCCTTGCAGTCCGCCAAGTAGTGTCGGTAGAGTGGAAATTGCATTCGTTTTATTTGCAGTCGATATTAATTATTGATGGCGCCATGTGTCACATTAGAGCGCAAATCAAAGAGGATTGACTAAGATCCGAACAATTAGCCCCTCATGTATAAATATTCCAAATTTTTATTTTTTTCCTCATTGAAGTAGTTTTGAAGAAAATTGCGAGCTAATAAAAAACATTTGCTGGTTAGTACTTTTTTAAAAATAAATTTTTGAAAAATCACCTCTGAAAAAAAAGGCGTTATCCCCTCTATTGCACTATTTCCAAAAAATTTTATCACCACTCGATAGCAAATTATGTGAAGATTTTTGGGAGTTGAGAAAAAATNTCAGACAAGATATGAATGTTTTTTTGAGCTCAAACGAAAGAGCGGGTCGAGAAATGGCGTGCTAGCACCTCTAAAGATGGTTTTGAACCAGGGGAGACGCCTAGATCCCAGTGTTCTATACATACTCCTAGACCCCATTATCCTCGTAGACAATGATGTCACAACTCTGCTTTTCAATTGAAAACAGATATCATCTTTAGAGACATTTGTCATGTTTAGAGGCTCTAGCACGTCATTTCTNGCACGCCATTTCTCGACCCGCTCTTTCGTTTGAGCTCAAAAAAACATTCATATCTTGTCTGACATCTTTGCTACAAACTCGGGTCTTCAACTCGGGCCTTCAATTGAAAGCCATGGGCCAGTGAGAAAAATAATTTTCTTCTCGGCGCACAGTGACTTTTCACAGTTTTCACAATTTGTCTCTCCCCTCCTAACTGAAATTAAGGAATGAAAAAAAGGCTGTTTGACGGATGACTAAATTACCCATCAATTAACCCTCTTTCATGCCTTAATCTCTGTACTAAAAAGATAAAAACTGCCATGAAAGTCATGGGCCAGTAAGAAGAATAATTGTTTCGCGGCGCACAGTAACTTTTCACCATTCGCCTGCGAATTAAAAATTCACCTCTCCCCTCCTAATTGAGATTAAGCGATGAAAAAAAGGCTGTCCGACGGAGAATTAAATTCACCATCAATTAACTATGAGAGATAGGGCCTTAAAACCTATTCCATTCGATTCCTGAGGAAATTTGGGTTCCCTGTAGGCAGATGCACGGCTCAGAATTGCGTTTTTCCACTTCCTACACCCTATCGAAGATGAATTAAATTAATTTTTTTTTGCATTTTCGTTTTTCGCGATTATCTCGGAAACTATGGGAGATAGAGCCTTAAAACTGAATTTGGGTTCCCTATAGGAAAGTGAACGGCTCAGAATTGCGTTTTTCCACTTCCTAGGCCTTGTACAAGACGAATTAAATTAATTTTTTTTGGCACTTTCGTTTTTCGCGATTATCTCGGAAACTATGAGAGATAGAGCCTTCAAACCTATTCCATTCGATTCCTGAGGAAATTTGGGTTCCGTATAGGCAGATGGACGGTTGAGAACTGCGTTTTTCCACGTCCTACACCCTATACAAGATGAATTAAATTAATTTTTTTTGGTACTTTCGTTTTTCGCGATTATCTCGGAAACTATGAGAGATAGAGCCTTCAAACCTATTCCATTCGATTCCTGAGGAAATTTGGGTTCCGTATAGGCAGATGGACGGTTGAGAACTGCGTTTTTCCACGTCCTACACCCTATACAAGATGAATTAAATTAATTTTTTTTGGTACTTTCGTTTTTCGCGATTATCTCGGAAACTATGAGAGATAGAGCCTTCAAACCTATTCCATTCGATTCCTGAGGAAATTTGGGTTCCGTATAGGCAGATGGACGGTTGAGAACTGCGTTTTTCCACGTCCTACACCCTATACAAGATGAATTAAATTAATTTTTTTTGGTACTTTCGTTTTTCGCGATTATCTCGGAAACTATGAGAGATAGAGCCTTCAAACCTATTCCATTCGATTCCTGAGGAAATTTGGGTTCCGTATAGGCAGATGGACGGTTGAGAACTGCGTTTTTCCACGTCCTACACCCTATACAAGATGAATTAAATTAATTTTTTTTGGTACTTTCGTTTTTCGCGATTATCTCGGAAACTATGAGAGATAGAGCCTTCAAACCTATTCCATTCGATTCCTGAGGAAATTTGGGTTCCGTATAGGCAGATGGACGGTTGAGAACTGCGTTTTTCCACGTCCTACACCCTATACAAGATGAATTAAATTAATTTTTTTTGGTACTTTCGTTTTTCGCGATTATCTCGGAAACTATGAGAGATAGAGCCTTCAAACCTATTCCATTCGATTCCTGAGGAAATTTGGGTTCCGTATAGGCAGATGGACGGTTGAGAACTGCGTTTTTCCACGTCCTACACCCTATACAAGATGAATTAAATTAATTTTTTTTGGTACTTTCGTTTTTCGCGATTATCTCGGAAACTATGAGAGATAGAGCCTTCAAACCTATTCCATTCGATTCCTGAGGAAATTTGGGTTCCGTATAGGCAGATGGACGGTTGAGAACTGCGTTTTTCCACGTCCTACACCCTATACAAGATGAATTAAATTAATTTTTTTTGGTACTTTCGTTTTTCGCGATTATCTCGGAAACTATGAGAGATAGAGCCTTCAAACCTATTCCATTCGATTCCTGAGGAAATTTGGGTTCCGTATAGGCAGATGGACGGTTGAGAACTGCGTTTTTCCACGTCCTACACCCTATACAAGATGAATTAAATTAATTTTTTTTGGTACTTTCGTTTTTCGCGATTATCTCGGAAACTATGAGAGATAGAGCCTTCAAACCTATTCCATTCGATTCCTGAGGAAATTTGGGTTCCGTATAGGCAGATGGACGGTTGAGAACTGCGTTTTTCCACGTCCTACACCCTATACAAGATGAATTAAATTAATTTTTTTTGGTACTTTCGTTTTTCGCGATTATCTCGGAAACTATGAGAGATAGAGCCTTAAAACTGAATTTGGGTTCCCTATAGGAAAGTGAACGGCTCAGAACTGCGTTTTTCCAC